GAAGTTCATATGTCATGCTGTGTTATAGCCTACAGAGTGCATAATTCTTCTCGTGATTCATACAAATTGCAACGTTAAGCGTCTTTTATGTGATATCATCTTAGTGTCTACTAACTGATTGACAGACACTACAGTATAGTGTGCGAGTGGTTAAAACATCTGATCCCTCATGGCGGCCTGCGTCCCCTTTTCAGGGAAATTAAACAAAAATCAGTAACTTTGCTTTAGATGAAAGGTCTTACCCCATCCAATGATGTAAAACATGAGAAGATTTTTCTGTTCAGCGAAGGCTGAAGCTATGAGTTTGTGTAGATAGAATCCTTCACATAACATCCACATGTAGGTTGTCATTCGGAAATAACTCTTCAGTATCAACAATATCTTGCAAATTACCTAGGCGTGGTGAAAGAAAACAATCGCCCACTTTTAATCGTTCACTAGAAATGTGTATCCACAATGAAATATCACTGAAGTACAAAAATAACTCTTTCAATTTCCATCAGTAAAAATATCTTAGAAACCAGCTTCCAACTTAAGTCCAACAATATTAGGCCTAGCGTCTACCAATAATCTTCAAAATGTGCTCAACTAAATTAGTCTTAAAAATGCTTAATTACTTACTTCTTGAAAACGGCTTATCAACAAATTTAATCACAAGAAATTATCACATATGACTTTTTTATTTTATTTTAAAAGCCCTCTAGAATACCCATTAAAGACCAGAAATACTTAATATTTTAAATATCCAGAAAACAGAATATATTTCACAAAAAATACGATGAAAGGAAGTGCCCTGTCGTAATTAAAAGTAAACTTGATAATTCGGATAAACAGAGTAAAATGTAATGAAAGAACAACGTTTCACCAGGATAACTTGGCATCATCAGGTACATCAACTACAATGAACTTTCCGTTCGTGTCAGTTTTGTTGTAAAAAACTTATTTACACAAGTACCTGTTTCTGAAAAAATGCCTGAAATAAATAAGAATTCTGGTACACAGTTGTATCTATTCTAACTTTAACTTAACTATGTTGATGTTCAAAAAGGTTTTTTATATTATTTTCTGTGAATCACTTTATCTCTATTTAAAAATTTCAAGTTACAGTATTTAATTTATAAATTCTGTTGTTATAATATTTTATATTTTTGAAAGAGTACTTATATTCTCCTATTTTGTTGATTACGGACATTGACCTTCAAGAAGTCAAGCCCTATCAATAAACACCGTCCGGAAATATCACACATTACTGTTAAATTTACCCAATCAAAGGTCAATGTACCCTTGCGCTGTATTACCGTATCAATTAATTTTAATTTCTGATCAAAGCAATTTAAGTAATTTTACGTCAGTTATGAAACTGTACCGACCAATCATGTTTTTTTTTCGAAGAGAAAGGTCTTAAAAAACGCATTTCGTAAGGTATTAAGGTAAGAAAAAACAATAAGTACAATAAATTAATAATACTGTCGTTCAATATACGGAGGATCAAAATAGCCACTTCGTCCAATACATAGAATAGGTTATAGGAGATATTAAATATTGCTTTACAAGTATTAAAAACCTAAGGTATTGACCTAAATTCCCATATAACTCACCCCATTCTGTTTCAATAAGGATTGATTATTCCCGACCTCTTCCATTAAAACCACAGAGGTAAAGGTGATGACGAAGACACCATTCAGCAAGAGGGCCATAAAAAGGTGCTTGTGCATTGTGATTCGGTGCACTTGGAGTTGTCTAAATGATAAAGAGGATTAAAGAGGCTGCAATGAGTTGGTTAATTAACATAAAGAATCTATTATTTATGCGAACTCACAAGGTTTCAAACAAAAATTATGTTCCATTTTCTGGCTTCCTCAAATGTCCCCCGGTGGGACAGCGGTAAGTCTTTGGAGCTACAATGTTACAATTAGGAGTTCGATTCCCCTCGTTAGAAACAGCAGATAGCCCGCCGTGGTTTTGTTCTGAGAAAACACATACATACGCTTTCTCAAAAAAAAAAACAAGAAAAAAGGCCGCTTACAAACTTCTCTGATTTTTTGGTTACCATTTATTTTCTGACAACGCTTTTCCTCTTTAACTTCCACTTCCGCTGAGACATTCACTTGTTCAATTGAACGAACGTTGTTTTTAATTATAGTATTTCATATTCAGGTTCAGTTCTTACATTAATTGGTTAGTAGGTTCGAACATAGTTCTCTGGATTCAATAGTCAGTTGTGTCAGTGATATACGATAACTTGTCACTGAGACCCAGCACTTGCTCAGACTGATATCCTGGTTCAAAAATACTTACAGTTCGTCAAGTGACACTACTATGTTCTAGTTAATAACTTGTGTAACGCTATGACGCCATTGTCTTCGGCATCATGATCTCACTTTGTTTTCATCTTGTTGATTACATCCTTATTTGAAACACAATACAAAAAATCACAGCAATGCACTTGTGAAATCATTTACTATGTTCTAGTTAATAACTTGTGTAACACCATGACGCCGTTGTCTTCGGCATCATGATCTCACTTTGTTTTCATCTTGTTGATTACATCCTTATTTGAAACACAATACAAAAAATCACAGCAATGCACTTGTGAAATCATTTACTTTCCAGACTTACTCATATGTAAATCGAGTACCATAATTTTGTGTGCATTGTATCTGAAGATCTCTTAATAAATTGTCCCAGAGTAAATGAAAAAATAACACAATTACGATAATGAAAATCAGTTTGGATGCTTGCTAGAATTAATTTGGACTGGGTCAGAAATGTGTAATATTGGAAAACACCAATTCTAGCAGATTGACGGTTTTCTTTTAGCCCTTGTGCACGAGCGAAGGTCAGAGCGCATGCCACGATCTTTTACAAGCTGCTAACCAACACAGTATTATGTATTTGATGTCAGAGTTATCAACCATTCGTTTTACCCTACACTGTTGATTTAGCGACTGTCTGTGGTTGAGGAGAGTAAATTCATGATAAAATGTAGATATACATTTCGGAGGTTATAGAGGTTATACAAATGCAATATGCAAAACAGTATAATAGATAAAAGTATTTTTATCCTTCACATTTACATCATCTTGCACTCTAACTTGTAAGTACAGTTACTTTTGTAACACATCTGAATTTGTGTGTATGCAACAGATTTGTACGTATTAGTAATAATTTATCACGTTTCATGTAGATACTTATATTAAATTAGGTCAATATTCCTTCTCCAATACAGGGTGTCGATCCAGTGGACCGACCTCTTGCACATTCGGTCAAGACGGAGTTTCAAATTTTGCAAATGAAATCATTCTTTTATCTTTTGGGTTCAGGTTACCAATGTTTTAAATTAATTTAATGGTTTTTGAAACACTTGGAGAATACAATAACATCTGCACATGTATGTTTAAAATGATCAAGACAAGTTTTACATATTATTTAGCCAAATTTTGGAATGTTCTTACTTGTATACAGAAAATATCACCAAAGCAGGAAGCAGTAAGAAGATAGAAACGGCGAAGGTTGCCACTTGAAAGTACAACCGGTTCTGGAGATCCTGTAATTGAAGAAAGAAAAACAAATCAGACGGTTACTAATAGGCCATTCTATAACCTTTTTCTGTATTTATAAATCAATTCTCTTGAATGATAGAAAATGTCAACAGAGAAGGTACTCAATTAATGATTAAACGCCATCTAATCAAAAAATAAATTACGTTTCAAAATTTCAAAGTATAGCTTTGTAGAACAAACAATTTCATTCAGTTCAAATTAATTTTGTTCATATAAAAAAGTTTCTTTAATTCGTGTAAGTTCAGCATTTGGTCTTCACATAAAAAAATGCTACTACTTAAATCGTTGGTCACATTGAGTTATGGCATGCTGCATTATAAACTCGACAAATTGTAAGTACAGGTTTAGTACGTTCCGTCATACACCCCTGGGGAGTTAAAATTGGTGAATTCGTTTATAGTGGGATGAGTATTTTTTTTTTTTTTTTTTTTACGAATTCAAAACGAACTTCCTGATGAATTAAGCCTGAATTGAATCAAACGACTGTAGTACAAAGTTTTATCAGAAACTTTAAAATGCAAGTTTTATTACTAATCTTCATAGATTTTAGTTTTCTGGAGTATTAAGTTAACACATTCTAAGTTTCTAATACTTTTATTATGCAGGATTCTGTTCTTCAATATATATTTTATTTTATAATAACGTACACAGAAACTCACTCCCACACCTCTACAATCAAAAGTTAGTCTAAACAATTCCGTGTTCAAAGATTAGGTTTCCATACACACCGATGATTCACTAACTTTCACACTTTCTCTTCATTTACTTAGTTTTGACTTATATACTTAGTTCTTCATAATAAGCTTCCAGAATTAGCCAAATGTACATATATGCATATGTTCCTTATTTAAAACAAGGCATAAATCAAATTCTGAAAATCACTTCAAGAAACAGCATGTGTTGCTAAGAGTTGAACTGAAGCAATACGTTTATGTGTTGCTAAGAGTCAAACTGAAACAATACGTTTATGTGTTGCTAAGAGTTGAACCGAAACAATACGCTTATGTGTTGCTAAGAGTTGAACTGAAACAATACTTTTATGTGTTGCTAAGAGTTGAACTGAAACAATACTACTATGTGTTGCTAAAAGTTTAACTGAAACAATACTTTTATGTGTTGCTAAGAGTTGAACTGAAACAATACTTTTATGTGTTGCTAAGAGTTGAACTGAAACAATAC